TGTAAGCGGGAGCTAATTTTATCCTTCAAAACACTCCTTCCATGTCTTGAAGGAGTGCAGCAGTTTAATTTTCTCTAAGTGCAGCTTTAAAACTGTAAATACAGGCCCAAAACAATATTTTAAGTCACATTGGAAGAGTTCTCTTAGAGTCCACTCAGCCTAAAAATTTCTGCCTAGTTTTGGCTGTGATCAGTTGGTAAAAAAAAATACACACAAAAAAAAATCCTGCATACAATGCTTCATGGTGATGTCCTAATGGACATGTCTCCACTCAACCAGTGGTGGTGCTTGAGTGGTGCTTCTCCACTCAACCAGCTAAGGTGTACTCTCAATGGCAGGGTAATAACAACAGAGCAGACCCACCAAGGCTGGAGACTGAACAATACTGGAAAGGCATATGGGAAAGGGAGGCGTCCCACAACAGCAATGCACAAAGCAAGCCCCGGTAACCATCACTGACAGATGTCCAAGAAAGAGTCTCAAGTATGAAAAACTGGACAGCACCCGGGCCTGACATGATACATGCCTGCTGGCTAAAGAAACTCACTGCCCTCCATGAGCGACTGGCAGCCCAAGTGAACCAGCTCCTACAAAGTGGGACTCACCCTGAATGGTTAACTGAAGGGCGGACAATCCTAATCCAGAAGGATCCATCAAAGGGTCCAGTCCCACCCAACTACCGACCAATAACCTGCCTCTCCACAACCTGAAAGCTCATGTCAGGCATCATAGCGGCCAAGATAGCAAACACATGGAGAAACACATGAGCACAGCACAGAAGGGTAAATAGCAGAGGAGCCAAACACCAACTCCTCGTAGACCACACAGTTGCCAGAGACTGCAAAACCCGACACACCAACCTGTGCATGGCATGGATTGATTACAAGAAAGCCTATGACTCAATGCCGCATACTTGGATCATTGAATGCTTAGAGATGTATAACATCAACAGGATTCTGAGAGCCTTCATTGCAAACTCGATGAGGCTGTGGAAAACCACCCTTGAAGCCAACTGCAAACCACTTGCACAAGTGTCCATCAAATGTGGCATATACCAAGGAGATGCTCTGTCCCCGCTACTGTTCTGCATAGGCCTGAACCCCCTCAGCCAAATTATCAACAAGATTGGCTAAGGGTACCGACTCAAGAATGGGGCTAACTTCTCTACATGGATGACATCAAGCTGTACGCCATTGAAACATCGACTGGGATTGTTAGAATGACCGGCAGACTTTAAAGAGGAGTCTTGAGGAAGAGAAATATAGTGCAGATCAACCAGGTGTTTAATTCCCAACATTTAACAAACTTACAAATCTTGCATACAATGGGCAATGCATCTCTGCAGCACCCATACTGATGTGGCCAACCTGTAGGCTTTTATAGTCCCTGGCTGCACCAATCCACAACCCCCCAAAAGCAGGATAAAACAAAATACATATACACCAAACAAGACAACAAATCTTCAACATAATAAACACTCTTCATTTCTTAGCAATCATTTCATTTCTAAAAATACCCTTATAAATATAAATCCAATTATTAACAGAAAAAGGCAGCGTTTTATTTTTTTTTTACTGTGGAAACAGGAACCAGAGGTGTAAAAAGTGTGGCCCGGGGGCCATTTGTGACCCGCTGGACTGTGTTTGGGGGCCGTCCTGAACAACTGGGAAATGTTTTATTAGGATAATAAACACTTATTATTTATTTTATTTTAGCACAGTGTTATGCTCCTCTCTATACTTAGTCTCTCCCAGAACCTTTATAAGGTGCCCAGGCCCCCGGGGAATCTTTTAGCCTGAACACACTACAGGAAAGAACTGAGGTAAGCCACAATCTACTTACACAATTCAATACATTTCAACAGATACAACATTCCTATTTGTTTGCTTTATTTTAACAGGATCCCATCAGTTCCGGCTGAGATGCTCCTGCAACAAACACAAACAATAAAATACTTCAATTTGTATCTGTCTCCTCTTCCTTCACCATACATTTAAAATGTTTTCATACAAGTAATTTATGACAGGGATGTACCACCAGCAAATAATCGAAGTGGCTGATATCAGTAAATCCTACCAATGGCTGGAAAAAGCTGGACTCAAGGACAGCACAGAGGCCCTCATCCTGGCTGACCAGGACAGGCCGTAAACACCAGAGCAACAGAGGCCCAGATCTACCACACCAGACAAGACCCAAGGTGTAGGTTGTGCACCTGAGACAGTCCAGCACATCACAGCAGGGTGCAAGATACTGGCAGGGAAAGCGTACATGGAGCGACATAACCAAGTGGCAGGCATAGTGTACAGAAACATCTGTGCAGAATATGGACTGGAAACCCCGAGATCAAAGTGGGAAACACCCAGAAAGGTGGTGGAGAACGCCAGAGCTAAGATCCTGTGGGACTTCCAGATCCAGACAGACAAAATGGTAATGGCGAACCAACCAGACATTGTCGTAGTGGATAAACATCAGAGGAAAGCCGTTGTGGTAGATGTAGCAGTACCAAATGATTGCAACATCAGGAAAAAGGAGCACGAGAAACTGGAGAAATACCAGGGCCTCAGGGAGGAACTGGAGAGGGCCTGGAAGGTGAAGACCACAGTGGTGCCTGTGGTCACCGGGGCCCTCGGTGACCCAATATATATATATGCAATATATATATATATGTATGTGTGTGTGTGTGTAACCGGATCCTGCTGTTTGTGCAGGCCGTGGTTCACCTTAAATGATCAGGCCGTGGTTCACCTTTAAAAGGGTTTATTCTGACAAGAATAACAAGTAGAAAATAACTGTGTTACCGGCTGCCCGCTCCAAACCCTACATAAACAAAAGTACATAACAGAAATTAACTTAATAAATCTATAAATAAACTGGATGTATTTAGATACAAAATAAATAAATCACACCTCTCCCACAGGACAACATGACAAAAGGGGAGGGTCTAAGGGACGCAAACATTTCAAAGACAATACCACAGAGGAAGAAACAAAAGGGGAGGGGCTTCCGTTCTTAAAGTAACAGTTAAAACAATAACAGAGATTTTCAGTCAGGTAGGAACCCATACAAATAACCAAAGAAAAACATTTTGAGTAATTATAACAACAGATGAAATATATATATATATATATATATATATATTATATATATATATATATATATATATATATATATATATATATAATATATATATATATATATATATATAATATATATATATATATATATATATATTATATATATATATATATATTAGTTAGTGAATTACTGGTGTAGTTCCTAAATAGTGACTGGTGATGTAAACATATCACAAAAGTCAAACTCGAGGCCCGAATTAATTATCTATAGCCCCCTGGATGATATTTAATTACTATTAGAATCGGCACGCATGTGTTGGTGCGCGCTGGCGTTTTGCACGCACCAACACTCACAATGCAATGGTAGCCCGCGAAGTCACTGCAGCATAGAGCAGAGATCAAATTTCAGGTCCCCCTCTCCTCAAAAATGGCTGAACATTTAGTGGAGTTGAGAACAGATTATCCACGTGGGAGGCAGAGTTCATATTCATGGAGATGAAAGGCAAACCTGTGTGCAGTTACTGACTTCAGAAGTAGCAACACAAGGTGTTGCTATTTCAAATCCATTTAGTACTTGTTACAAGCACATCACAGACGTTACGTGCTTCGTAACGAGTTGCTGACGTCGGAGCGCTTCTTAGCAAGCCACTATTTTTTGTAATTTTATTTCCTCTTGTCTTGGGAAATGACTGCAGTTTCTATCAGCAGCGACAGAAACAATGGAGGGAGTAGGTTACTAATGATCATAATGGCATTTAGGTGCACAACTTTACGGACTCGTTCATTAGTGGCTGTTTTCAAGTTTATTGCGCTGTTCAATATCAGTCTCGATGTTTGCGGTTTTCTGGAGTGCAACGTGGAGCTCGACGTCATTCACAGAAAATATATTAACTTAACATTGACAAAGACACAGCGGGGTCCAGGGAATGATGGACTAAAACTAACTGGATGTCAGACAAATTCTGGGGTTTATATCTGCTTATTTCCAAGCCAAGAAGCGCGACTCATTAAATTTACAAACAACTTTAGAAAGAAATAAGCGGTGACCCCCGCGTAGAGAAAATAAAACTACAAAAATAAATAAATAAGGCAAAGTGGTTTCGATAAGTAACTATAGTTTAACTACTGGATTTGAAGTAGACGTTATTTCAAATCCAGGAGTTATCACCAGCTCCTGTCATGTTTGGTCTTCAATGCTCTTGCTGATGGAAAGAGGTTTGGACTCAAAATCTCACAATACATCTCATTCATTCGTTCATGTACACGGATCAATTGTTCTGGTCCTTTTGCAGAAATATACCTAAAGGATGATGCAACTTCACAGTGTTGCATCATCTGGGGGTGGAGGGGGGGGGGGGGGGGGTTAGGTACAACTTTACAGTGAATACACTGTGGAGTGTGACGGACGTTGTGGACAGGTGTCTTTTATGCTGACAAGTTCAAACAGGTGCCATTAATACAGGTAATGAGTGGACAACACAGGAGCCTCTTAAAGGAGAAGTTACAGGTGTGTGAGAACAAAAAATTCTGCTTGTTATTGACCAAATACTTATTTTCTAACATAATTTGCAAATAAATTCTTTAAAAAATTCAGACAATGTGATTTCCTCATTTTGTCTCACATAGTTGAGGTCGACCTATGATGTAAATTACAGGCCTTTCTCATCGTTTTAAGTGCAAAAACTTGCACAATTGGTGACTGACTAAATACTTTTTCTCTCACTGTAATTAGTGACCTCACTAATTGAACTTGGCAATTTTTAACATTTCAGCAAATGATTGTTTTACAGAATCAGCACCATGCATATAATGCTTTACTAAACCTTCCAGAAACCTCAAGTGTAGAAGTTGAAATGTTAACAAAAACTGATTTATTGTGCTAATGATGTAGTACAGTCTAAAAAAGCAACTGTAAATAAAAACTGGTCATATTTGGTCTCAACTTTATTTGTATACTAATTACTAAAATCACATCGCTGAAAAATAAAAACTATCAAAAAAACATCTTCATTTCTGCCAGTGGAAAATTATTTCAAAACGCTTGAAATGATCTGATTCCTGTGCCAGTGATGAATACAAATCAAATCAGAAAACATAAATATACCAATAGCTTTTTATACAGAATATACATTTAACCCGAGAATATGAATTAGATATTGTGGGAACAAAAAATTTGACCAATAATTACTTTCCATCCTGATACTGTACTGCAAATGACAACAGAACTACAAAACAATGTCTATAAAGTTGAAAGGCTATTTGGTTGTCAATACCACTTGTGAAAACATGAAACGTAAAATTCACTTACTACACCAAAATTCATCGTAGAGTTTCCATTATGACAATTTACCAATTGCACAGTTTTTAATAAAACTATGCATTTTTAAAAAAATATTTTACTGTCACAAAAACAATAAAAAGTTTATGAAGACTGAATATGCAAGTAATTTTTCATCACATCAACAGAAAAAAACTTGCAATCTTTTCTAATCATCGTCCTTCACATAACAGAGCATAAGGAAAAATCCCTTTTGGTTGTTTTTTGCTCAAACAAAATGTAGCTGAGCAGTTTTAAAATGCTGCGTCAGATCCACAATGGACGACAAATGTAGACAAAAGTAGACAAATCTGTCTAAAATGTGTGCAGCAACAACTCACTAACTTTACAGCACAGTGGTAGTTAAATTTCGCTTTGCAATCACAGAACTTGGACTTGTACAACTCTGGCTATCGACATACTCAAGCTTGAATACCGCCTCAGTAAGTCTATAACAGAAAAAATGAATTGATGTTACGACTGGATCAAAGTTCAGATCCCAACCAGACAGAAATGTGTGATACAACTATGAGAATACAGAAACTTCTCTGTAAATGTTAATCAATAAGCAACAGCAACAAAATCCAAAAAAAAAAAATCACACAAAAAAAAAAGAAGTAAATTTTACATTGAAAATTTTACTGAGATCAGTGGTTGGGTAATCATGGTTTGTACACTAAATTTAAGACACACACCTCTTCTGCATTTCTTTAATAACTGGATTTTTATTTAATAATGTCATGGTAGAATCTGTTATGTGCTTTTGTACACTAGAGATAAGAAACCATTTCAGAATGTGATGAAAGCCACAGAATTCTTTTTTCATCCTTTTTGATAAAACCACAGAATTGATTGAGTTTCATCTGTTCTGTAGTTTTCTGAAACTCAAACATTTTTGCAAAAAAAAAACTTAATTTACCTAAAAATATTTTAGGGGAATGAAAGAAACAAAGAAATATTCTTACAGAAAAATACAACAAATGAGTGCCAGTGGCATTTGAATCAATCACTGTCATATTCTTCTATGATGACTTCCTCTTCCTCCACTGGGTTTGTGATGAGATGAGACTGACTGACTTGTAGACCTTTCTCAACCCGGCAGTGTAATTCCTCTTCTTCCTCGATCTCCTGGCCCATCTCTTTGTCTCTTAGATTCTCCAGTTTTAATCTGTACATGTTACAAAAACAAAGACATTTGAAACCTTCAGGTTCCATTGGTAACCATGGATACATTTTAGCGGTGGTACAATAAAACAAAGACACAGGCTGCCAATCTTCTCACTGTTGGACGCTGCTTGCTCTCAAAAATCCTACATGTGTTTTATAAAAAGAACAAAAACAAACAAACAATGTAGCATCATGGGATATATGTTACACATGAGCCTGAAACTAGAAAAAGTAGCACAGTCTATGAGAACCTTCTGAGCAGTACCAGTAACAAAAATTATTTTTGTTACTAACTTTGCATTAGATGAAGACCCTCAAGAAGTTGCTCCTCAACCATCTTTACCATCCTGCTGAGGTCTTGATGTTCCTGGCCTAACATCAGGATAGGTGATGCCATTATCTACCTCCTCTACACCTCTGTAACATACTTGGAGAAGACTGGAAGCACTGTAGGGATTGTTTTTGATTCCTTCAGTTTTTTTACACCTCAAGGGACAAGCTGGAGGTGCAAGCAGTGGACCATCACCTGTCCCAGAGGTTACAGCTGACAGTATGAAGGACCCAGAGCTGTGTCTCTGATAGGGTGATTTGGAGTACAGATCAATGCTACGGACTGCTCTGGCAACGTTACCATTCACTGTTTGCTCTGCAGACTTCTCCATCAACTCCCAAGTCTGCCATCTACAAAGTTTATCTTCTATTGATAGCTTTATAACAGGTGAGGATGACTCAGACTACACACAGTGAACTCCGGATTATGAGGATTGGTCCTGCTGGATCATTTCTTTTATTGTCAATTGTAAATCTTTTTTTTTTTTTTTTTCACCGTCAACTCTTGTATGACGGTGGCTGTATAAAATATTTCATTATACTAAGTGGTTTAAATAGTGGTCTTCCAACCAATCCCACTACCTAGCTTCAAAAATAATACATGAAAATTGTAGAAACATTTGGAGCATCAGTCAAACTGACAGAGTACATCCCAGCAGGTGAAGAAGAGAGCTGTGACTAAAATACAAGAAGTCTCCTGGCACAACAAACAAATAACAACAAAAGCTGGACTTAAGTGTAAATCCAATCAGTGGGGGAGAGTTGAAAAAGTTGGTCGGAAAATATGTAGAAGAGGAAATGCCTTACATATGGTTGACTCTCCCTGATTGTCATTTTCATATTGAAGCTGTGGGGGTTGTTGTCAACAGCTGCCAAATGTAGCTAATAAATTAACTTGTAATCTAACTTAGTTAAAATCAAGTTTTAGCTAAGTTAGAACCAAGTTACTTTTTCAAGGAGCAATCACTAATCAGAAATCAAGATAACTATGCCACCCCTGATCAGGAAATCCACAAAATTGAAAGCCTTTAGATCACAGGTGTCAATCTCCAGTCCTGGAGGGCCGCTGGCTGTCTTGCAGTTTTTCGATGTGCCACAGGTACAAAACACTGAAATAAAATGGCTTCATTACCTCCTCCTTGTGTAGATCAGTTCTCCAGAGCCTTAATGTTCTATTCAGGTGGTGCAGCAGAGGAATATCTAAAGTTGCAGGACACCGGGCCTTTAGGACTGGAGTTTGACACCCCTGCTTGAGAGAGTTCTGATTTAACATAAAGAAAAATCATATTTCTCCTATTTTAGTTTCCCTTTATTAGCTTCCAGTTAATTCCAGAATAGAATTTCAGCTTCTCCTTCTGACATATAAAGTGCTTAATTAGACTCCATCATTCATCAGAGATCTGATTGGTCCATATGTTCCTAAGAGAGCACTTTGCTCTCAGCCTGCAGGTTCTTAGAATTTCTAAAAGTAGAATCGGAGGCAGATTCTATTATTAACAGGTGACTCTCCTGTGGAACCAGCTCCCTGTTTCAGACACTGTGTACTTTTAAGGCCAGATTTAAAACTTTCCTTTCTGATAAAGCATAAGTTAAAAACAATATTTAATCTGCAATATACAATAGTCAAGTGGGGGAGTAGTAAATCCATTGGAATAATAAAGTTAATTAATTAATTCAAAAAGGATAGTGACAATTTCACATGAGGCCAGGCTGGTTTGAGGCCTGGCCCCATGTGATTTAATTTTGTAAATTAAATAATAATGATAGCATTGATTGGATGTCAATGCTGTCATCCAATCGGATGACATCATTGACACAGAAAGCTTAGACTACAAGGCCTATAAAATATGTACAAAATTTATCATAAATTATAAGAATTAAAAAGGTTTTATACCTGCCAGAACAAGTCCTTAGCGACATCTGACCCACATCTTGAATAAGAGCAATCTGTGCTATGAGGAAAAAAAGTAGGATGTTACTTTAACCACCATTAATTATTTACCAGAAACATTTATTGTGGTTCACAATTTATTTCCCTAATCCAATAGTTATTGGACAGAAATAGTTATTGGATTAGGGAATAATAACCAATTTATTTCACACCTTAGTCTCAGCCATGTGATTTAGAGTATTGGTCAATACCAAGTCACAATCCGGTACTTCAAAAAAACATTTAGAAAATGAACCCTCTCGATGACAGCATTGCCTAATTTGCATATTTGATTATGTGAGCCAAAGAGGATTTTTAGAAATTAATAACATTGACAATGCAAAAATAATATAAAATACTTTTTAAGTCACTTCTAAAAAATATTTTAAACTATAAACAAACTTCATAAAGTTGTCTGAACCTACACTAAATAAATCAAATTTGTATAATATCAAAATTAATCAAAAGCCAGTTAACAGAGGCACATGCAGTGCAGGAGGTGAATCAGTGATAGAGGCTGTGTGAATCAAATGTATTTTGGTGCAACAGTTTTGGCAAAAAAAAAAAAAAAAAAAAAAAAAAAAGCAAACACAAATATCTATGTTTACATTCTATTTACTGTAATCCAGAGGTGGATCAGCTTTGCCATGTGTGATTCTATTGCAATGTGTAAATGAATGGAGTGGCTCTGCTCTGCTCCACTGCAGGGTGAGCCTACCGTCAGTCAGACAACAGGCTCCCCTCGCAGCACTGGGTTCATGGCAACTCTCACTGCTCACTGTAACTGCAGTACTATCTATGCTTTTCTGTTTTCTCACAAATGTCTCCAATAATGGTGATCTGAATATACAGCAGCAATGTCACAAAGTTGGCAACAGTGCTGATGTTGTGTTCTGTTTCACAATACTGAATTATTATGCTGAAAATTGTATCCCCTGTTGTAGAAACATGTATTGTTCTAAGCTCTTATTAAAGTGAAGCCACACTCTTCATCGCTGCTGCACACATTTGATTGCTGTGCAGACACTGCAGCCGATTTTTCTTTGCAGGGATTCAGTCGGCTGACTGAGAATCATAATTTGGAACTGAAAATTAAAAAGTTTATCGATTCTCAACCTTCAATAAGCATAATGGACAGGTTTTTGACAGAGCCTTGTGTGCTTGAGTGTGAAGGGTAAGGTTTTGTGGGGGAGGGAATTGTCTTAACCAAAGAGAGCTCAACAGAAAAAGCTTGGAAGTCACTGGTGTTAGGAACTATCTATAAAACCACAGATCTGGAAGATAAATGAGTCACAACAGTTTAAAGTCTTTTAACATTTAAATAAGACACTTTCATATTTTAGTTAGTAGTTGTTATTTTTGGAATCCATTGGCCAAACATCATAATTATTATTATTACAGTAAGTTTATAGTATAGTAAAGACAGTAAAAGTGAGGCATCCATTGTGTGCTACCTTGACTCCTTGTAGGGTTACAAAGTTTGGCCAGGAAAGGCAACAACTGAGTCTGTAGACCAACTGGTGTAAGACAGAAGCTCCGGAACAGAGATTGAACAGCCAGACAGTTGTCCTGGTGCTATAAAAAGAAATATTTATTAGTATTTATAAATGAAAATCCTGAATCCACATTGATCAGTTGTTTTCAGTGACATTGATTCAGAGACTTGAGTACATTTAAATATAATACAGAATAACCACATCTGTTCTTGTACTTTTGACTCTTTATTTGTACTTTTAACTTTATTTAACCCAAGGTGCTTTTATCCTTTGCTTAACAGGTTTAAAAATGATTAGACGTTTGAGGCACTTGTGGCCTAGCTCCAAAAACCAATTTCAATAGCAAACAGTAGGCTACTGAAATATTCATGAAACCATTTCCAAAATAATAATAATTGAAATCCATCTATTCATCATTTGTAGTCGAGACAGAAATTTTAGTCAGTATTAAATAAAAATAGTGTAGTTGAGTCTGGGAAACAACATAATGTTAGTGGTGGATCAAGAAAAATATGCATGGCATGGCAAGAGATGGAAAGTCCATCTGGTGACATTTCATGTGTATGTTTTGCGACTAAAGTTTTGTTATGGACTCCATGGGCTCCCATGAGGGATTTATACAAACAGCGACGGGGGGGGGGGGGGATAAGAGGACGCCGTGACCAAGGAGCATCAGTGTGCTTTTAACATTTTTAATGCTTTCTGTCTGTATATAAATATTTTGATTCAGATTTATTCAAGTATAAAAACTAAAGGACAAAGTATCAAGTTTAAGAAAATAAAAACAATACAACATACCAAAAAGGCATCAAATATAAATCAATACATGATGGCAAGAGTAAAGCAGTGTATGTTATTGTTGACTGACAGTTACTACAAACACAGTAGGGCCTACCCTACCTTGTCCTGCATTAAAAAGAGATATTGCTGTAGGAACAAAGGCATTCTTGTACCTGTTATTTTTTATACTAAGAAGTCTGAGGCATGTACACTGGCAGCTGGTAAGTCTACCTCGATATTTACTGATTCGAACTATGCATTCAAGATTGTGCATAGTTTTGGGATTATTTGGAAACAGAAAATTCCTTAAAGCAGATGGTAATTCTCAATTCTTCTCCAGTTGCATATTTGTGAGATGCTATCATGTTACCTGGAGACATCTCTGTGACTAAATGTAAAGCTCACACAAAATCTGATGATTTTGTTGCCCGTGGTAGCTGATGGCTACCCAGCAGCCTTCAGTGATGTGCTTCCCCTCCTTCCACACTCCCACGCCTTCTCCCCCTCCTCTCTCTGATATTGACGCACTACACTCTTTTGCTTCAGGAAAAGAGAGGCGTGTTTGGAAATCTTCAGGGGTAGTTATTGAAAATAAAATATGGATGGGTCCAAATGGCAAGCCGTTCCTTCCTAACCATTTTCCCCCATTTCGCAAAACTGACTCACCGTTTTGACCATGTTTCGAAGTCTGCCATGGTTGCTGGACTTACAGCACACTGGTTTACGAAAGGGTTCAGTTCTTTCGCACAGAGACACTGTCAAACATGCATGATTTGTGCAACACACAACACAGGGCGAGCACATCTCAGGCTGTACAGTCTCCACCTGACAAACCTTTTAACTATTTGATGATGGACTTCATTGAATTGTCCCATGCTGAGGGGAAGAAATTTCTGCTTGTTACTGTTGATATGTTTAAGGTAAGCTTTCCCATCAAAGCATGCAGAGGGTCACACAGTAACTAAGGCTTTGCGAACTGAAATTATTCCACGGTAGGATATTAAAATTAGCATAATGGAACACACTTTGTTAATGCAGCATTAACTGAAGTGGGTAAGGTTTTAGGTACGGGGATATTGATGATCTTGTCTTGCTGTGTGATTCTTCTGCTTAAAAGGTTATTAGAACATTTCATTACTGGTCATCTCTTGCAGTACACTTTCCTTACACACAAAACTGATCAGTTCCGTTACCCTACCTGCCTGAGTGATGATTCTGATGATTTGGATTTTTTGTCCAGTGATGTTGAGGATAATGTGTAATGTTCTTTTGTCTTTAAGTAGTGCACTCATTGATATTGTCAGGCTAGTGTCCTAGCTTAGCTTTCCGATACTGCTTTGACAATTATAGAAATGTCTATGTTTCACAAAAACAAATGCCTGTCCTTTCTGCATGTTGTACATATGCATTTGATGGTTGATTTAACATTTTGTTTCAGCTGCTACAAGATGGCAGCTATCATCCCATACTACCCAAGAAGATATGCCCCAGCATATTGCTTTATTTACATTTACCACTGAAAATACAGCTGACAGCATAGCTTTACTAAGGTCATACCTTTTTGTTGACTAGACACCAACTGGGTTTGTGCAGCGGTTTGAAGCCAATAGGAAGTTGACAAGAGTTTGAGTGGATTAATCCTCTGGTTGCCACTGAAGATCCATAGTCCCCTATTAAGTGACGAATCTAAAAAGAAAAACAACATCTTTCAAACACTGAAAACTAGTCATCAGACAATCCACATAGGACACAGTCGGTAGAATCAGTTGGTAGAATAACAATCAATTTGTTCATGATGCCCTATATATTTCAAATTTAAATCTCAAAGGACACATTCACACAAAGAGAGGTGTGGAGCTGTCCACTGCCACTGGCTCCGGCGGTTGGGGAGGATGCTGATCAGAGCTGGCACGTATTATAGGGGTCTGCTGGGATTTAACTCCTACTTCTCCTACTTTAGGGTAGAGCTTTGAACATGTTTCGGAGGGGGGTTGAGGGGGAGAAGGGGCACAGGCATTGAGTCTGAAAGGACCATGTTCCACATCTCCATTGTCAAGGCCAACTTATTGGACTTGTTGGTTGTTGGTGCCTGTCCAAAAAAAAAAACTCGGCGTCTGAGGAGTTTGGAGAGGCCATGGAGAAAGACCTCCACATGGCTTCGAGACAATTCTGGTCCACCATCCAGAGTCTCAGGAAGGTCTATTTAGGGGTCCTGGAGAGAAGAGTCCAGAGAGAAGTGTGGTTTTCATCCTGGTTGTGGAACACTAGACCAGCTCTAAGTGGAGGAGTTTAACTAACTCGGGATCTTATTTATGAATGAGGGAAAAATGGAGCAGGGAATCAACAGGCTGAGTGGCGCAGCATCTGCAGTGAAGTGGGTGCTGTATTAGTCTGTAGTCATGAAGAGAGAGGCCTATTATTTCACCAAGGTAAGTCGAAGCGCCAATAGAAGTAATAGCTCCCTTCTCAAGATCAAGCTGCATGTTTTGATGTAAATATTGTGGGGATACATGCACCGGCTTGAGCTGCATTAATGGTGATGAAATACTAGGTGTTGAACAACAGACAGGCCCCAATGACCATAATAATGAAAATAAGGTGTAGTTGAATTAAGGTTTTGTTATTTAAATCAGAATTTGGAAGAAAAGGTTTGAGAAGTATTAATCAGTAAGATATGACAGGATGGAACTCATCAGCTCTACGCAACAAAAACAAACCAAAAAGATGAAGCTATCTAGGACATAGTGGCATGGGCAATGGAGTAGAATGTAAAGACAGATTGTGACGTTATCACCTATGCATAAAGATGTTCATATGATGTGCCAAACCATGCACCCAGGAATTTGCAAAAATTCTCAGACCGCAGTCTTAAGAGTGTTGCAAATGCAATTTAATGACAACATTCTTCCACAAAGTCCAGGATGTTATTCAAATGTCAGAAATTCACATGTCCACTACAGAAAATGTACTGAACCCTGGTTACTGCAACCACAGAGGGTGAGGAACGTGGCTGATTAGATCAAATTTCTCAGAATTCCTTGCGCTGGAGACACCACTGCTGGAAAGATGATTGCTTAAATCTCCCACCCTTGCAACAAAATTCAAAGCTGATCAGATAAGATCTGATCTCTACTCAAAAGAGAATCCCAAACTCTTGTCTTTTGAGTAAGACTTGAACAGAGACATTGCTCAGAGCATTTCATTCTACTCTGCTGGCAAGAAAAAAGTTCTATGACCATGTGATATTTCAGTTTTTCTTTTTTAATAAACTTTGCAAAATTATCTACATTTCTGTTTTTTTCTGTCAAGATGGAATGCTGAGTGTAGATTTATGAGAAATAATAACTAATAATTGTAGCCATTTTAGCAAATGGCTGCAATAAAACAAAGAGAGAAAAAATTAAAGGGGTCTGAAAACCTATACCACTCCTATGAGTTAGGATAGTTTCATTCTACACTTTTTCAATCTATACAGCACAACTTTTTACATTTCTTATTGAATGCAGTTGGAGTGCTGACTGATTGTGTATATGTCTACCTACATATATTTAGCTTCATGCTTTTTATATTCTTCAATCCACCATTAGTTTATACTATCTATTAAGGACTAACCATCCAATTTCCTGTGAGAAGATCTGCATCAGACAGGTACTTGCTAGCTCTGTCCACATCTTCTATGTCAGAGAAGAAGTCCAGATAATTCTGATGGAGGCATAGGCTGAAAAACTCTCCAGAAGTTTCTGAACGCTCAACAACCAACTGAATACAAAGGTAAACAAACAAAAAAAAAAAAAAGAATCAAAATGAACAGAACACCACCCAGATTATTGTCAAATTAAATAAAGTGGGGAAAAAAGAAAAACTTACTTCGGGCTGCACGAGCAATACTTCTCTATGATGTTGCAAAAGGTGAAATGGCAAAACCAGTCCAGAGGCACCTTTAGTTTCATTTGGACAGTCACCATTTCCACCTGTTGGTCACATCATTTGACTTAAACAGACTGTACCACAATCTTTATACAGAACAATCAGAACAAGAACCAACTGTTTTAGAGACAGTTTTTACCCGAAAGCAATAACAAAACTAAATGCAATCAAAAAATAACTATCAATAATCATGAATGATGTGTATCAGCTATTTATTTATTTTTTTACATTGTGTGTAAATTGTGAGATAGTTCCTGTGACAATGGCAATAAAGACTTTTATCTTTTATCTTTATAATCTTACAATTAAGATTCAACTGAAGACCACTATATAATGTTATTCACATAAATTCAAAAATACTTTATTAATCCCAAAGGGATATTAAAAGTTTTTGTAATTCATATTATTAAACATTTAAAGAGTTATTGTAGATACTGACGGCTGTGGAGAGGGATAATTTCTTGTATTACAATAAAACTGAAGAAGCCTCTGACTGAAAACATATATAACTTCATAAAAGGGAGTCGGATCACATAAAGGGTTGATTTTCATTGCAGGTCTTATTGCTTATGACAGCATTTGGGTAGTAAATCTACCAAAATTATCATTTTGCACAAAATCAAATCAATAAAATGAAAAAAAAAAAAAAAAAAAAAACTCTAAATTGTATATTTTTGTCTATAGATGGAATTTTATTGAAAATACACCTATCAATCAAAGATTGTATCCAATTGTGTAAATAATTACAGTGAAAGTAGAGTTGTATAAAAAAAGAATGCTCTTATTCTTATTTTTTATTCTGTACACGGTTCTCACACTCTATACCTACACCACCACAGAGTTACAAACCAGTGGTAGTTTAATACCAAAGTTGCCCAAAAAGTGTACAATAATTCTGGTGCCAAATGTTCAAGCTATTTTACAGGTAGTACTCACGTTTGCAGTGTAGAATCTTTCCCAGTGCTCTAAACAAGAAGAAAGAAACATCTTTCCCACCAATAGCCTGATGGTCCTCTTGCTCCTTAGCTGACTTTGCTTGTTTCCCCTTCTGTTTTGATAGAGCAGCAGCTCTTTCCAATGACATTGCAGGTGGTCTCTTCAATGTACACAATCCTTTTTCTGATAAATTTTCAAAAACATGAGAAAGATAACTTAAGTTAACCTGTCCTGAAAAGCACAAATATCCATTTGCAAAATAATTGATTTTAAATTTGTACATCTGCATTTTTAACCCTTTAAGTGTCACGGAGTAGAATGTGACATAACTTTACCCAGGAGACAGCAAAACTGTAGGCTATTAATAGCACTTCGTATATCTCCTGAAGATCTTGAACAAAGCATTTCCAGTTCCGCCTTGTCAGGAACATACAATTTCTTATGACTCTGCTGGAAATGAGAAGAATATTAAATTAGGCAGATAATACAGGAAAAAAAAACTTGTATAATGTCTCACCTTTTCTGCCTCCATGTATACAATGTTTTTCACAACCTTCATCATTGTTGTTGCAGGAACAGGATTAAAACTGAAGTGAATGACATGACATGTTACTGTGAATCTAGCATCATAGTAATCAACACACACAATATATATATTGAGGAGATGCAAAACAAAACTAAACAGCACAGGCAGTCAAAAATTAGAGCCTGACAGGGGCAGAGGCGCCTCCTTTAAGATCGCAAACAGTAAGGTCGTGGTTGGGCCGGAACCTGTCGCTCTCATCACTGTCCAGCAACAGTGAAGAAGATCAATCTAGGCTGATGATGGGAGCAGGACAGGAGGCTCGGGGGAGATGCCAACCCCAGCAATCCCAGGCGCTGAATTGATGGCTCAAGGGTCAACTGCAGAAGGACACCAGAAGAAAACGGTGGCACCTTGCCTGTCCATTGACTATAAAGACTGGTGCAGATTTCAGAGTTTTTGTGCGCTGCTGCATTTAATATATTAGCTCCACTCAGCCACCACATTTCTTTTTTTCCGTTTTTGTGGTTTGTCGACCTGTCCCTACATTTGCTGTGATTAGTCACATATATTTAGTCCTGAATGAGACAAAGAGACAGAGAATAATGTGGTTCAGCTGCTCTGTTTTTCAAACCTACGTAACAACGAGAACCGATGGAGACAGCATACTAGAATTACTTTTAAAATAAATAAGTATCTATTTATACAGTAAATTTAGAATTTAATTATATCTTTTAAATCAGTCAGCAATATAAACAATAATTCACCTCACATAAAACAAATAATTCCTTTCAAGCAGCTGCTTTTTGTGCAGTATGTTTTTTCCCAAATATTGTTTATTAGAATTTAACAAGCAGCTAAGAAGAATAGCAAAGCTTACTTTTTATGTTTATTGTTTGACAATAGACATGCTCTCCAAACTATTTATTTGTGACAAAATTTGGAGATAATTCCCAGACATACATTTCAAATATTAACGTCTATAACCTGATGCAGCTCATGTGAAGCTCCTCCTGAATCTCTTTGGGGAAAAGAGACCATAAGCTGCCTTCTCCACTTCGAGAGCCAGACACTATAAATACCAGCGGACAATGACTATTCTTTACAAAGAACCTGGAAGACAGATAAATGAATAAAATTATCAAACAGAATGCGTGAATTAAGGAAAAACAACAATTTTGAAATCTACATAGAGCAGAATTAACACAGTGTTTGTTCCCTTCTATGATTTCCATTTTTTTGCATTTTTATTATGCTCAGGTGTCTCAGAAAATCAAACTGATTTAAATACTAGTGTTACGGCCTTGAGGGCTGGGTTGCAGGTGTTTGGTGTTTGCCTTTGTGCTCCTCCCCTTTGCAGGTGTTGCTGGTCTGCTGATTTGGAGCACAGCGTATTAAAGTCTGGCTGTCTCCACCTTCTGGATCGCCTTTGGCGTCCACTCTGCTGCTTGTGGTGTTTTGTTGCCAGGCCTCAGCTCCCCTCCTTTTGCACATTTGCATTTGTCTTTGTTTTTGCACTTCAACACTTCTATATGGACTCATACACCACATCTAAGCTGATACTGACATCAACAGTCCATTGTAGTTTTTCTTAATACTCCTTTTAACGCACTTTAACCACTGCATGGCCTCCCATTTTCCTCTGACTTTGAGCCAGTTGTAACAATTAGTAAATGACAACACAAATGTTTAAATTAGCTTTAAATTAAGATAATCTCAGAAAAAACTCTACCCTGTGTGAAAAATTGATTGCTGCCCCCTCTCCATTAAAACATAACTGTGGTTTCCTAAACACATACTGCTGGAACTCACCTCAAGGTGTCATGAAAGCTGCAAGGTTGTCTGTAGAACTGGTTTGGAAAATCCTGGAAAGAACAAATATGAAGGAAAAGTGAAGGGATGCAAAGCTTCTTGTTGAAAAATATATGACAAACACTTTTCTTGACAATGTGAGAAAGAGCCAGAACATGCATATTAGTAGAAGGAACAAGTAGCTGGAATGCATAAATGCATAAACGAGAGACAAACAATCACAATAATGATAAAATTTCCAATGATGTAAAATCAATTGGAATGTGGACTCGGATGCTAAAAAATTACAGTGATGATCTTGTTAGTATTTTAAGATGACAAACTGTACAAACTGTACCCAGAATATTTCCATAAAAATGCTATATCTAGAAAATGTGGGAACAAATGAAACTTCAAAAAGGCATATTTAGCCTGATTAAAAACCAACATCTCAACCAGCACATTTCCCCGTAAATATTTGGGTTTTGGAAGATTTCTCTTTTACGTTCTGGCATAGCAGTTAGGCATTATTGTGAATTTGTTTACCTTATTCTGTCAGGTCAGATTTCCTCCGCCAAAGTGAGAAAATAAAAGTTCACCTTGTTGCCTAATTGGCTTCATTTTGGAATGGTTCATATGTTTAAGGTTGACAGGCTCCCGCCAAGACAGTGGGTGACTAGAGGATAACTGCAACAAACTATTACAACAATTCCATGGTGGCTTGCACAGATGCAGCGGCTTGGAGCTCCTCTCATTGTCTGTGTTTTTTACCGTTTTATTTTCTTTAATATGGCTAGGATTACCTGCAGTCAACGAGATCTTTTCCACATTGGAATTTGGAGCAAACAGTATGTAATCGAGGACTTTATAGATATGCACAACAGACTGAACATGGATCACATGTTCTTGTACAGACATTCTTGTAGATATTCATCCTAAGGTTCAGGCAAAAGAGGTGGCAAAATGAGAGAAAAAAGGAGGGATTCCAGGCTGGTGTCTTGGCACAATTACAGAGAGGGGCAAGCTTCAGTTGGCAGCAAACATTCTGTTACTCGACAGTTGCAATTTGCTGATCACGGAGACCTGCATCTGTGAACAAAAGTTGGTGCACAATTGCCACAGTTATTAATAGGCATTGCTCAGCTGACCTGGAATTTATGGCCGCTAGATGCAGGCTGTTTTACCTTCCCTGTGAGTTTACGGTTGTCATGGTGATTGCTTAATGCATTCCACCCGGTGCTGCCAGTGGAGCTCTTTTGAATGACGCTTTCAGCTGGCAACAGAGCCACCACCCAAAGGCAGTGCATGTGGTCGCGGGTGATTTTAACCATGCTGATGTGAAAGTCTGATATAGCTGTGACCTTGGATGTGGAAATTATTCCATCTTGATGTTTCACGGCAAATAGATTTTGACACTTTGTCATGCCAACATGCTTTGATGATAAGAATCTTTTGATAACTTTTGATCTTCAAGTGCTTCAAGAGTGTTCCGAGTGATTTTGAAGTCTATATCTCAAAAACCGTAGAATAAGTTTGATCAGATACAACGTCTATAAAAAAAAAAGAAGAGAAGACAGCAGCTTTAATCCAAATTGGACGACTTGCTGTTGGGTTTGGACCATGGGTCCAAGAAACTTTGTTATAGGACCTGACAGAATATCTGCGACGTGCGGTGAGGGAAGGCAAGTGAGGCAGAGCCTCATCTGACATAATGGAAAAATATGACAAAATAACTTATATTGCTATATTCAGCCTGTGGTTTGTACTGTGAACTATTTATTTTTTATTGAGCTCAATCAATTTTGATTATTTTTTCTTCAAAATTGCTTAATTTTCGCAATTTCCCATTCAAATGCTCAGAAGCGAAATTGCTGAGGCAGCAGTGAGCTTTAAAAAAGCTATGTACTTTGTAAATGATGTGGCTTTGTAATGAAAGCTAAAGTTCAACCAGTAATACTTTTATAACAAATTTATGTCAGATCATGATTTCTTGGTTAATGTGAAGTTGTCATAACAAAAACGTTTTAAATAATGTCAACTTTGTATTAAGCGTTATGATTTACTGAAATACACATTATGACAACAGTCACAAATATTCATGAAGACTTACTCATGTTCATGACAGGTGTTGTCATGTTTATGATGGTGACATGACAGTCTTATTCACAACTCGTCAAATAAAGTGCTCCCAAATACTGAAATGTGTAAATATCTCTGGTGTTACATGAAGAAGTACAGAATTACATACAGAAATGATGAGTAATAGACTTGTCCCTCTCATCCCCTTTGAAACTTTGCATGCTCTAGATTGGAAAGTGTAACAATATTTCAATTTCCCAATTACTGCTGATCTGAAATTGAGGGGAAAAAACCCCCACAAAAGAATACTTAATTTACTTTGAAATGATTGTCATTGTTAAAGTTTGCCTAATACCTACTTTTAGAATTTCGCACTGTGACAAAGAATACAAAAAAAATTTAGAAACAGATAACCTGAGGCAAGTTGAAGATACTTTACATACCTCCACCAGGATGAGCTTTTTCTCTGCAGCACCTCTTTCACCTTTCATTTTCAGGCATTTGTACTTGTTAACTCTCAGAAGAAACTCCTGAAATTGTGCCAACTGAGAGCTGCAAGACAAGCCCTGTGATCTCCATTCTGCAGGAGAAAGATGAACTGTTTTAGAACCAGCTTCACAGTACAAAGCAAAGGCATGCTACCACAGACATTATTTAGAATTAGCATCCATATATACAATAAATCAAACTTCTTCATATATCCTGAAAGCCTTGTACAAAGAAAACTGAAAACTACTGAACTACTGAAAAGATTTGCTTTTCATATAGCCTACTGAAATCAATTTCAAAAGGTTATACAGCATTGCAAAGTAGTGAAAATGGTTCATGTTCACTTCTGAAAAGCTCTACCTTTCATATGCACTAGTGAAAACTTTTCAACAAAGTAGTGAAAACCTTTTTTTTACCGCCATATTTTCAGGTGGTGGCTCTGAGGCTTTAGGAAAATCTACAGAAACCATTTTATGAAGTGGGAATGCCAAGTCTTTTCTAAATCTTTTCAGACAAGTCTGGTGTGTTAAATGCTTCGGATCTACACTAATTACTAGTAACAACCTACATCAAGGTGTGCATAATTATTAGGCATCTTCTATTCCTCAGGCAAAGTGGGCCAAAAAAGAGATTTAAGAAAAAGTCCAAAATTGTGAAAGGCTTTTCAAGGGATGCAGCACTCTTGAAACTGCTAAGATATTGGGGACTGATCACAGAAGCATCCAACGTTTTGCTGCAAATAGTCAACAAGGCCGCAAGAAACATGTTGAGAAAAATAAAAAGGCACAATTAACTGCCAAAGGTTTAAGAAGAATCAAGTTTGAAGCTACTAAGAACCCATTATTTCCAGTGCTGTCATATTCCAGAACTGCAACCTATTTGGAGTGCAAGATGTTCAGAGCTCAGAAACATGGTCCAGGTAGGCTGAAGGCTGAAACCCAACCACCATCGAACAAGACATACAAGTTGAAACATCAAGACTTGTAGAAAAACTTTCCTCAAAACTTGTAGAAAAACTGATTTCTCAAAGTTTTTGGGTTTTTTTTTCAGGATGAGATGAGAGTGACTCTTGACCACTGATAGCATAGTTACTTTGAAAACGTAACTAATCACTTCACTGATTACTTGATGTGGAAAGTAACCAAATTGCATCAAAAGTAACTTTTTTTAGTTGCTAACAGTAACCCTCCACCAGCTGTGAATATTACATTGAGCTTTGCAAATACTTAATTGTAATACTTAACTACTTAGTTATTTTATTATGGTAAAATCAACTACGTGACTCCATTTATAAGGTTGAACTGAAAGGGAGATTGTCAAATGGTTACAACAGTACTATAAAAAATTTTTGGTAATTTTTGTGTGGTTTCACTGTTGTCTAGACTCTAAATAGGATTTTAGTGCCTTCTTCTCCCTGCCCCAGTCTCCAGGTTTTGTTTTACAGGCCTGTGTTTGCTGTCAAAGTGCACAGAGCACCTCTTGCAGCTCCACAACTCTCATTATTATGATGGCATTTATTGTGCAACTTTACGGACACGTTCATTTGGTGATGTTTTGACGTTTATTGCGCTGCTCATATTCGTCTTAATGTTTGCAGTTTTCTGGAGTGCAATGCGAAGTTCAATATTAACTTAACATTAACAAAGGCACAGCGGGACGGATCATCCAGGAAATGATGGACTAAAACTAACTGGATGTCACACAAATTCTGGGGCATATTAAGTGTCTCTGCTGTCTTAAAACCCAAATAAGCGACTTAATGTACAGAAACCATAATCTGCGACTCATCAAATTTGCAAGTGACTTTAGAAAAAAAACATGCTTTAAGATGTGATAGTAATATAACAATTGGACTTGGTGACAGAAACTCAAAATAGTTCAAGTTTTTCCAGCAGCAAAATGCGCATCTCTCCTCTCTCCATTGTTTACGTTTATTTCGCTGCTGATAACTGTCGCATAGAAATGGCGGTCGCTCCCCCAGACACACAATAGAATTAATAATTACATAAGAAAATAGTAACTAGTAAAAGTAACTAGTACTTTTTTCAGTAACTTTTTTCAGACTGAAAAAAGTAACTTATACTTTTTTCAGTACTAGTACTTTAACGCGTTGTTAAAAGTTACATATCCAAATCACTGTGCGTTACTATTTTCTTATGTAATTATAAACTTTTATAATTACATAATAAATTATTAAAATTAATAATTTCGATAGTTAATTTTGTTAAAATTAATTATTAATTTTAATACAATTAAAATTTAATAAATTTTAATTAATTTAATTAAGTAACTGAAAAGTACTTTTTTCAGTTACTTTTTACTGAAAAAAGTAACTAGTACTTTTTTCAGTAACTAGCGCCTTACTTTGTAAGGCATTACTGACCATGCCTTACATGGTCTTGGCTGGATCAGTAATGAGCACAGAGCTCCACTTCATATCAGATGCCAGCAAGGTAGAGGCAGAGTACTGGTATGATATTATTAAAGATGAGATAGTTGGACCTTTTCTGGTTGATGTACTTAAAATCAATTTCTAAACCTATTACCAAGATTTATACAATTTAGTTGAATACGACAGGTTCTTTCTTCAAGCAGTGCTACAGAAAAAAGTTTTCAACTTTCAAGAGGACCATCATTTTTCTGCAGGACAAAGCTGTATCACATGAAACCAAACTCCACTATGTAGCTAGCTAGAGAAGGCTGTAAAGATGAAAGAATAATGAAGTGGCACCCTTCCTCACCAGACCTACCCTTAGACAAGACAAATGACAAGGTGAGATGGGTGTAGATGATTTGGAGCCTTAAAAGGAACAGCCACAAGAAGAACATTTTAAACATTGCTTACAAAAGTTTTCAGCTGTAAACACTCACGGGGAAGCAAACAATGGACTTTGTTTTAAAGACTACTTGATATACTAGCATTGTCTTATCTGCTAACCATCAATGCGTGGATTGAAAGATCAGGACTTGCTTCATAAATATTATGCAAAAAGATTAATGCAGAAACACTGCAGTCATTCAGAGTGCCATATTCATTGAATAGGCAATTTGTGCTTCATTGAAAAACATCCACTACAAAGTGCTGTTATTCAATAAAGTAATAAAGTATTGAACACAAAAAATCAAGTGGCTGCAGAGACAAAGGTCCATGGCGGAACCAAAGCATGGCACACAGAACAAAGTCATCAGTCAGAAAAATGCCTAACTTAAATAGTTAAGAACATATTTATTTATACCTCTGGCAGAGATTTAAACAACTTTAATTCAACCAAGTTTTTTGGTTCATAAAGAATATAAGTATATAATATGACATAAAATGGTGTAAGAGAAATATCTTTTTAAAAAATATCTAATTGATCACTTATTTTCTTTTAAAAAGAGAGAAATGACTAAGCCCTTCAATAGACAAAATCTTATTACTAGTAGAGCAATCAAACCCTTCTTATTAGTCTCAAAACTGTGTGCTTATTCCTCACCAGACAAACTGCTCAAGTATGGTTCTGCACTTGCAGGGTTAGTCCATTCCTGAACTCTGACACCTAACTTTGTAGACAGAACTTGGACCGTCGCAGTTTTTCCAGAGCCCGAAGGTCCTGTCAGGATCAAAATACCACCCTGGAACACAAAAAATAATAATATTTATATAAATGCACAAACCTTCCAAATTGTATCAACATCTCTATGTTTATTATTGTGAATCCCAATAACATTCGAAAGAAGCAAGCCACAACAAGCTTTTGCTCCTGAAGGAAGCTGAAGGCCCAGAGGTAAGCCCTCTGTCCGATATGAAAGATGTCCCAAAGTATAAGCATGGCGTGTTGTGAGGCTTTCCTTGCACCCCCACCAGTTCCGATCTGCAGAGGTTAACCCAGGTTCAACTCCACAAATGACTCAAAACAATGACCAGATCAGTGTTATATGACAATTTCAGTCAATAGAATGAAGATTCAACAGCTGGAAGTGAACTTTTAGATAAATCCTGCTTGTAAAAATGAAGGAATTCATCCTCAAATCAACGGTGAAGTCATACACCCTCTGCACCAAATATCTCATCGTGGAACTCTCTGGGAACTCTCTAAAAAAAGTCTCCCATTTGAAGGCGATTAACAGAGAGAACCTCACACCTAGACGAATCAGAATGGCCAGTTGTGAGCAAAAACCCACATTTGAGGTTCTCAAATTTTCAGATGGAATGAACCAACAACTTCTTCTCAGCACTTGCTCAAACAACAGACTTTAGTTCATTTAAGCCACCTGGCTCTGACTCCCCAGAGGATCCACCACTGAAATGAGGGTCCAGACATTTTGTTTACACTTGTTTTCCTCCAGAATATATCTGGCCTCCCCACACTATAAAACAGGACAGTACCTGTCTGAATCACTACAAGAAAAATTACAAAAACAGAAATACAAAATGTAGCTGTCTCAATTCAAACCTCAGTCTCATCTCCTGTCTAAAGCAACTGGAAATTCAGGAGCTATCTGCCACCACCCATCCATTCATTTTCTAACACCCTTATCCGTAGTGGGGTCGGAAGGTGCTGGTGCCTATTTCCAGCTAACGTTCCGAGCGAGAGGCCAGGTCACCCTGGACAGGCCGCAGGGAATATGCCACCAAGTCACTAAAATTGCCTCTTTAAACATAAGATTATTATTAGCCAATGGCTTATTAGTAAATGACTTCATCAATGAGGATACAGTAATACTGATGTTATGTTTCTGACAAAATAATTAATAGTAATTCTGGGAGATTTCAACATCCATGTTAACAATACATTAAAGATATGCCGTTGTATCAACCTTCCAGACCTCTCAAGTCTTCCAGAACCAAACATTCAGCTTCTATCACCACAAATCTGGAACAAATTTCCAACAAACTGCTAAACAGCTGAAACACTGAGTTCCTTTAAATCTAGACTAAAAGCCCCACTTGTTTAGAATTGCTTTTGAAGCATAATTAATGCAGCAATCAACAATCTGATGTGTAATGATGGCATTTAACAAAACATAACTTTAAATTAAAATTTTTGACTGTTTTCAATTATTTTGTATTTTTATGACATAAAGTACTTCGAAATGCCTTGTTGCTAAAATATGCTATACAAAAATATTTTACTGATTGATTGGTTGTGTATTTTTCGTTCCTGTCCTGTACTCCAAATTACTTGTTCTCGGCCTGATCTCTGTCAGAACCACAGAGATGGTTCTCCCTTGTCTTGTCCAAAGTCGTTCCCCCGTCCCTCCTGGCTCATCTTGATCTGCCCTCCTTCTCTCCCTGGTCATCAACCCGATTCTTCTGCTCCGGATCCTTAACCACCTGCTCACCAGCCTGCCACCCTCCACTCTCACTCATGCATGAAGACATCATTCAGAGAACACCATCCTCATATTGTTCCCCAGCTCACAGCCAATCTTGGTCTCAGAGGATAGAAGACGTTCCTTAGATTTCCCTCACCTTCGCCAACAGTTAAATCCGCCTCCCATGCGCCCACTTAGAGATCTCCCACCCAATCGCCTTATTAATTCACTCACCTTTCAGTGCAAACACTTTCTTGCCCTCATTTCCTATCATCAGGTCTCCTGTCTGTTCCTGCTGCTGCAAATAAACTTCTTACTTACTTTAATTGTATCCGAGTTTGAAATTGTTGAATGCATCAGAGCCTGATATATGTCATGTGAAAAAGTTTGGGCACCCCTGTTAATCTTAATTATTTTTATTTCCCAATATTTGGGTGTTTGCAACAGCTATTTCAGTCTGAAGGATACAATGATATTTCAGTATTGAATTGAGGTTTATTGTACTAACAGAAAATGTGCAATATGCATTAAAACAAAATTTGACAGGTGTAAAAATTTGGGTACCCTTGTCATTGTATTGATTTGAATTCTCCTAACTGCTTTTCACTGACTTTTTTTTTTTTTTCAAATATATTTTATTGAATTTTCTCTTTTTTGGCACAACAAATTCACACACAACAAACTTAACATTATAATATGTACTTATACACTCTTACATTCACTCCCACACTCACCCTTCAAACCTGCATTTTTTGGTTCCAGAAATATCAAGAACTTTTTAGATTAGAGAAAAAAGACAAAGAAGAATAACAGAACAATATATGAATAGAAACAGTAGACAAGACATCCATTAATAAGTTCCACCTTCAGTCCCTATGGTCTTCATATATGGCTCCCAGAGATTTTCAAAGTCCTGTTGTTTACCCTTGATGTATGTTAGTTTTTCCAGTCCGAGCGAATTTGCAATTTCCTTCTTCCAGAGTCCCAGGGAGGGTGCGTCCATGCCCCTCCAGCATAATGCTATAGATCTTCTGGCTTGAAGAAGTCCATAGTCTATCAATTTAGTTTTCCTCTGTGATTGTTTAAATTCCACTGGGTATATTCCTAGAACACAGATTTTAACCTCCAATGGGACTTTCACCTTAAACAAGTCAGATAGACACCCAATAACATCCCTCCAAACTTCTGAATTTTAAGACAATCCCACAAACAATGGAGAAGCGTTCCTTTTTCAAACAAACATTTAGGGCAAGTATCTGGAATATCACTGAACATATGATGAAGCTTAACTGGTGTTACATAGGTTCTCATGAGCCATTTATATTGCAAAAGTTTAAATCGTGTGTTTATCGTTTGTTTTTGTGCTTTTAAACAGGCCTGGTTCCAGTCTTCCTCATCTATATCTTTGAAAGTATCTCTTCTCCAAGCGTCTAACTTATCTATTGCTGAGTCCTTAGAGGAAAGCATTAACAAATTGTAGAACACAGAAAGAAAACCTTTCCCTTTTGAGTCTCCAACACACACCTCTTCTATTTTCGTTAAGGGTGGAATGTTAACTATTTGTTTCAGTTTGATGACATAAAGTTTTTTCAACTGCAAGTATTTAAAAAAATGTTTCGGTGGTATTAAATACTTCTTACATAACTGATCAAAAGTAAGTAACTTGCCATCAACATATAGATCTTTAATTTTCTGAATGCCTTTGGTTTTCCATAGTTTAAATCCTCCATCATTTTTTCCTGGGGTGAACCTTTCATTACCCCAAATAGGGGTAAATTGTGATAACTCTAGTCGCTCAGCTACATGTTTATGTGCTGCATGCCAGTTTGTAATCGTATTTTTAAAAAAAGGATTTTTTGTGGTCTTTTTTAATGTCTTTAGATCCGAAGAATATAGAAAGGTATTTAAGGGGAAATCTGAAACAGATTGTTGTTCAATGTCTACCCAGGCTGGAGGTGCCATCGGGCAAAAGTAATGGGTAGCTGATGTTAGTTGGGCGGCCATATAATACCATCTGAGATTAGGGACTTGAAGTCCACCTCTTTCATAGGGCAGATAGAGTAGTTTTAAACTGAGTCTTGCTTTTCTGTTACTCCAAATAAATTGATTAAATAGTTTGTCCAGACTGTCATAAAATGACTCTGACAGCGGCAATGGAAGTGTTTGGAAATAATACAAAAATTTGGGCAAGATTGTCATTTTTAATAAATTTATTCGGCCTATCATGGATATAGGCAGGTTTGACCATCTATTTAGCATTTCTGTGACTTTTTCCACAAGGGGATCATAATTTGTTGTGATTATTTCATTAAGAGATGGGGTGACCTTAATGCCCAAATATGTAAAACCTTTTGTTGTTGTTTTAAATGGGGTAGTTACAATAGGACTTCTCCTTTCTTCTTCATTAAGAAACATTAACTCTGATTTAGAATTATTAATTGTATATCCTGAAAATTCACCAAATTCTTTTATTAGATGTAATAATTTAGGAATACTGATTTTCAGATTACTCAAGAAAAATATGATATCATCCGCGAACAGGAAAATGAGATGATCTCTTCCTCCAATTTGAATCCCGGATATTCCTGAATTTGCTCTAACAGCCATCGCCAGAGGTTCTATTGCCAATACAAAAGTAGTGGTGACAGGGGGCAACCCTGTCTAGTTGACCGTTGTAGATTAAAAGGTTTTGACATGTTATTATTAGTTAAAACTTGTGCTATGGGATCAGTATATAATAGTCGTATCCATTTTAGAAAGCTTTCACCAAAATCCATATTTGGGGAGCACTTCAAACAGATAATCCCACTCTATTCTATCAAAAGCTTGACGTGCATCCAATGATAACATTGCTGTGTCTTTACAATTATGTTTTTCATGCAATATATTAAGGACCCGTCTTATATTATGGTAGCCTTGTCTTGTTTTAATAAATCCTTGCTGATCATCTACTATTAAACTGGGCAGGTACTTATCTAATCTCCTAGAGAGGGCTTTACACAAAAATCTTTGTATCACATCCCATAAGACTGATTCCTCTATAAGAGGAGCATTCAGTGGAGGGTTATTTGGCTTTAGCAAGAGAGTTATTGTAGCTAACCTCAGTGAGTCTGGGAGTATTCCAGCTTCATATGATTCCTCATACATGTTGAGAAGTGGCAGGATTAATTTATTTTTAAATGTTTTATAAAATTCTATTGGAAGTCCATCAGGACCTGGGGTTTTACCACTATTCATGTTATCTATTGCTTCAGAGAGATCTTCTATTGTTAAAGGACTATCAAGAGTTGTTTTCTCTTCCTCTAAAAGGGTTTTAAATTTTAATTGATTAAGAAACGCAGCTTGTGCGTCTTCGTTTCCAGAATATTCAGACTTATACAAGTTTTGTAGAATTCTCTAAAATTTTCATTATTTCTGAAGGGTCTGTGGTTAAAATATCCGATTTTGATTTATGCTGTTAATTGTTCTTTCCGCTTGTATCTGTTTTATTCTCCAAGCCAATAATTTACCAGCCTTTTCTCCTTGATCATAAAATGCTTGCTTAGTCCACATTAAGTTTTTTGCCACTTTCTCTGTTGTTAATTTATCATATCTGGTTCTTAAAACATTCAGTATGTGTAATTTTGTCTGATCATTGCTCTGATAAAGTTCTGCTTCGCTGGATTTAATTTGTCTCTCTAATAATTTTAATTCTTGGTTGTATTGTTTATTTTTATTACTGCCATAACTGATAATTTCTCCTCTAATAAGCTTTAAAAGCTTCCCATCTAATACTAGCTGTTGTTTCATCTTTATTTATTTAAAAATATTGATCAATGGAAGTTTCTATAAATGTAACAAATTTTGGGTCTTTTAGCAAATGTGTCTGCATCCTCCATCGTTTCATCCCTTGATCAATCTTATTTACTTTAATTTCCAAGGACACTGCAGCATGATCACTAATTACAATACTATTGTACCAACAGTCCTCCACATGAGGCAATAACTCCACTGAGATAAGAAAATAATCAATACGTGAATGGGATTGGTGTGAGCTTGAATAACATGAAAATTCCTTATTACTTGGGTTCCTTGTTCTCCATACTTCATTTATTCTTAAATCTTTTATATAATTAAGGAGTATTTTCCTGGTTTGTGAATGACTGGTATCAATTTGAGTAGATTTATCCAGGCTTGGGTTAAGGGTACAATTAAAGTCCCCTCCTATAATATAAAATCCCTCCAAGGTTGACAAGGTTAAGAATAAATTTTCATAAAAGGATGGGTTATCATTATTAGGTCCATAAATATTTATCAAATTTAGTTTTAATGTTGAAATATGTCCCTGCACAATAATATATCTCCCATATGGGTCTTTGATTGTCCTTATAATTTGAAATGTTATTGACTTATGTATAAGAATAATAACTCCTCTGGCATGACTGGTAAAAGAAGAGTGATATACCTGACCCTGCCATCTTTTAATTATCCAATGTATTTCCGGCTCAATCAAATGAGATTCTTGTAAAAAAATTATTTTAGATTTCAAATATTTTAGTCGGTCTAATACTTGTTTCAATTTAGTTAGTTTTCGTATTCCTCTGACATTCCAACTTGTAATTTGATATTCAAACCATTTCCTTTGGTTGTTTTTTCCATATCAGGTTAATTTACGGTTATACTAAAATAAAGTATGCAAAATAGTACAGAAAATGCAGGTTTGCACATACATTCACACATTCAACCATACAAGACACAGAACTAGTTATGAACAATCCCCAAAAGAACTTTTGCATTTCTTTATCTGAAATGCCTCCCCTCCCCTTGAACCCAGTTTCTGGAGGACGTTGATCCACATCACCGAGGAGCAACTAGTCAACATGACCTCACCAAAGCAGACAGTGTCTAGCTATCAAATAATACCATTAACCCTTGATAGAACGGTAATACTTGCTTAATGCTCAACTTTTAGCATTAATGCCAAAACAGTTCAGATTAGACTTCGAATATGTGAGCACATGAGCAGTCAGTTATATTTATATGAATTTCCCATTATGTATCCTGATTCTGATCCGGTTGTTGAGGAACAGTCACATAAATGTCTTATCGGTTTACCTGTTTCTTAACCATGACTCACTGATTAGAGGCATCCGCTGTGTTTATTTTGGAAGAGTCTTGTAAAATGCTTCAGCTTCTTGAGGTGTTGAGAAGAGATGGATCTTTCCACCGTGGAGGACTCGAAGTTTGCAGGGGTTGTGCTGGAATCCGCGAAATGCACCGATGTCGACAAACAGCTTCACTACCGAGTGGAACCCGCGTCTGATCCGTACCGTCTTCGCCGATAGATCCTGTGCAAACGTGATTTTGGCCCCGTTTTGCATAATATCTCTTTTCCTTGCCTCTCGGTAGACAAACTCCTTCTCCGGGAACTTTAAGAAGCGAATCAGAAACCGCTCTGCCCTGGTTTGGTTCCCGGAGGCTGGTGTGCGGTGAAACCCGTTCCAATGTGAATGACTTGTCCGGTGCGAGTTCCAGCCACTTCGGTAGCATGTTGCTAATAAAGTCGAGAAGCGTCTGTCTTCCTTCTGCTCCTTCTCGGATGCCAAAGACACGCAGGTTCTTTCGCCTTCCTCGGTTTTCCAGGTCATCTGTTTTGGCCTCAAGGAGCAGGATTCGTTTCATAGCTGAAGTCAACGATGCTTCTGCTTTTTCAAGCGAGCCTTCTACTTCGGCAATGCGAGCCTCGGCCTCCTCCATATGAGCCGCCTGTTAATAGGTCCTGTTTAACCTCAGACACCTTAGTCTCCAGTGCAGTCATAGAGCTCGCCATTCCAGTCAGTCTTTCATCTATACTGTCCAGCTTAACTCCAAAATCCGACCGGAGTGACTTTAGCTCCTCTAGTACTTCAGCTATGCTAGCCATATTAGCGTCTTCGCCGCACGTTGAACTCGGTGCTGTTTTGGTGGTTGTCTTGCGTCTTTTTGAGAAAATTTCGCACTGTTTCACAGACGAAGCTTTAGACATATCAGTGTCGTATCTTTTGAGCCTTCCTTACTGCTTTTACAAGGGTTTTAAGAGAAAATTCGGAACACCGTCCTTGGAGCTGTTCACTATGCTGCCATCGATCTCGGTCACGTGACCCCCCTGCTTTTCACTGACTTACTAAAACACAAAATTGATTTGGTAATTTCATTGAGGTTTGAACTTCATAGTCAGGTGTAGCCAATCATGAGAAAATGTATTTATGTGGCCAATTGCAAGTTGTTCTCCTGTTTGAATCTCCTCTGAAGAGTGGCATCATGGGCACCTCAAAACAACTCTCAAAACATCTGAAAACAAAGATTGTTTAACATAGCTGTTTATTAGCAGGATATAAAAAGTTATCTCCGAGATTTAAACTGTCAGTTTCCACTGTGAGGAACATATTAAGGAAATGGAAGACCTCAGGGACAGGTCTTCTTAAGAAGTGGCAGGCCAAAAAAAATATCAGAGAAGCAGAGAAAAAGAAAGGTGAGAACTGTGAAGGACAACCCACAGACCCTCCAAAGACCTGCAGTATCATCTTGTTGCAGATGGTGTCACTGTGCATCGTTCAACAATTCAGTCCACTTTACACAAGGAAAAGCTGTAAGGGAGTGATGCGACAGAAGCCTTTTCTGCAAGCATGGGACAAACAGAGTCGCTTGAGGTCTGCAAAAGCACATTTGGACAAGCCCGCTTCATTTTGGAATAAGGTCCAGTGAACTGATGAAACAAAGAGTGAGTTTGTTTGGTCATAAAAAAGGTTTTATGCATGGTGGCAAACAAAACACAGCATTCCAAAAGAAACACTTACCTCCACCATAAAATTTGGTGGAGGTTCCATCATGCTTTGGGGCTTTATGGCCAATACCAGCACTGGGAATCTTGTTAAAGTTGAGGGTCGCATGGATTCCACTCAATATCAGCAGATTCTTGAGAATAATGAAGAATCAGTTACGAAGTTGAAGTTACGCCGGAGATGGATATTTCAGCAAGACAATGATCCAACACACCACTCTAAAACTATTCACACATAGGAACAAATGTTCTGCAATGACCATCCCAATCCCCAGATCTGAATATCATTGAACATCTGTGGGATGATTTAAAGCGGGCTGTCCATGCTCAGCAACCATCAAACTTAACAAAACTGGAATTGTTTTTGCAAAGAGGAATGGTCAAAAATCCCTTCATTCAGGATCCAGGAACTCATTAAAAGCTACAGGAAGCAACTAGAGGATGTTATTTTTGCAAAAGGAGGACCTACTAAATATTAATGTCACTTTTCTGTTGAGGTGCCCATATTTTTGCACCAGTCAAATTTTGTTTTAATGTGTACTGCACATTTTCTGTTAGTCCAATAAACCTCATTTCAATACTGAAATATTACTGTGTCCATAAGTTATTGGTTCTATCAAACTGAAATACCTGTTGCAAACATCCAAATATTTTGAGATAAAAATAATTAAGATTAATAGGGGTGCCCAGACTTTTTCATATGACTGTAACAAATATGACACAAAGGCAAATATAACCTGCAGTTGTGCTTTTAGAAGTGCATGTTGAGTGTTTCATGAGAATGAGATATCTTTGTGAACAAAGAATTATGTGCGGCGTGTGCCTTTACACCTCACACACTGCCCAGTGCATGGCTCTGTCTGTGGTGCAGCTGATAAACATATATTCACTATCTTGTTATCCCTAATATTACTGTCATTTTAGTTTACCTTGGTTGCTTTTGTGTGGGTTCTCATCCATTTCTCAACTTCCGCAGTCTTCTTTTTGTGGACAGCAAGTTCACCCTGTACAAAGACAAAGCTATGTTATAAGACATTTGATTTCTCATCTATGATGTTTGTGCTGAATTATTCCAGAAGCATACTGTACATAATTTACTAGACATGTTAATAGTTAGGCAATGCAATAAAGGATACAAATATCCCAATTATTTTTCTAAAATTGCTTTATTGTAATTTTAGATTTTTGGCAGTATTTCTTGTGGGCCGACGGGCAGACGCATCAGCTCAGTAGAAAGCTAGGGAGCCACCAATAACAACTCTCTTTCTGGCCGATGTCCACTCACTGGATAACAAAGTGGATTGTTACATCTGAGGCGAAGTGTTTTCACAGAGATGAAGAGCTGCGATGTTCTTTGCTTAAGAGCAAAGAACATCGGTTTTTTATTGTTCTTCTTTGGCATGTTGTTGTTTCACATGCCAAATCAATGGTCTTAAGTCAGGGGCCACCAACCTTTTTGAGACTGGGAGCTACTTCACAGGTACAGAGCAACATGAAGGGCTACTTGTTTGATACAATCTTTATAACTATATATATAAATATACATATGATCATACTGCCTGATCATATTAATGTCAGGATTACTCACAATAGTTATCAGTAATAATTTACCAGTCTTAGCAGCAGGTATCAGCCGCCAGGTGACCCATCAGCTCTGTCAAGAAAATCCGAGATCATCCCACTTCCTTATGCTGGAGACTGTAGTTTAACAGTAACAATAAATAAAGTTACCTTTAAAATTGGTCACACAAGTGACATCTAGACCCAACAGTAGACCCAGATTGCAATAAAATAAATCTGGTTGTGTGTTTTGTTTTTGTCTCCTGCAAACTTTGCTTTAATTATACTTATTTTTCCTATCTAATCATAAGAAATCATAGTCTGCGCAGTACGAGGCCTCAAACCCAAATATTAAACTCACAGCATTAGGTTGTTGCTGTGGTAACAAAACAATCTATCCATAAATATTGTTCTTTGGACTTTTACAAATTAAACTTGCCAGCTGCTTAAAATCTTACATTTAAATGTTCGACAATTTTAAATATTTTAATTTATGTATGCTAAAAACATTGAATCAAATTTAGCAGCATTGATAATTTCAATAAACAAATTACATTTATTGATTTGTGTTAAGTATTCAGGCCCCCAATGGGGCCCCTGTATCCCTTGGGGGCCTGATGGAGCCGCTGATTTAATTTGGAATAAACAGAAGTGTAAATAATTGATATTCAATTTAATTGTATTTTTTGATTTGATGTTTTTAAGACTAGTTGTGGGTTTAAATCGCCTTTCACTGACATTTTTTTTCCATAGCATATAGTTATCAAGTAATATTTTTACATTTCCTGTCAACTAAACATCTTTTAAAACAAACACAATGGACCGCTTCGGCGCACCGATTACTGGGCTTAGCAAGTTTTCTGGGGGAAACCTTGAATATGTTTTCATCACATTAAAGCAGTGCACCCATTTGTCATTGCCACAAGTGCTAAAGTTTACCTGTGAACAAGGTGAATACTTGTCAACCCATGGTTCATCTGGACCTCTTTCATTTGATTTCGTCATCCAAAGAGAACCATTTCGGTCTTCTTTCCATTTTCTAGATCTCCTCTCTTCAGATTGAAAGCTCCAAATTTGTTTGTCTTCGCTCTTGCCAGATGTATCAGAGAAGGATGGATCCACCCAGTTATTTACCTAATATTCAAGAAGAAGAATTTAAAGAGTGGGAATTAAGGCCTTGTGTGCATACCCAAATTTACATCCTCACACTAACAGGACTTATTTAATTTATCAGCAATATTAATAAAATGCACACTTGAATTTTGTACCCAAAGGATATGTTTGGGTACAAAAACATATCATAATGCAATATAAATACTTATCTTATACTAATACAGTGGTTCCAAAAGATTTTCTTCTGGGCCTGGTGTAGATTACAATAAAATCCCCCCAAAAAAGAAAAAAAGAAAAAAAAATCAACTAGGTACACGTCAGTCAACCAGACATAAACCTATATATTTTCAAACTCAACTAAAGTTTATTTCACACTTCAGATTGCAACAAAACAAACTACAAACCATCTTTACAGTGAAACACTTTTGTGTAACTGTTTTTTTTCCCCCCATTCATCTATACCACTTCCCGCACCCCTCCTGCAATGGCACTGAGCCTCCGCCAGGGGTGCCCCACATTTTGGGAACCACTGTAATAATACTTATACCTGTAATATTTCTAAGACAATACAACGGGCAAGTTTTACAATAAAACCAAAATTATGTTTCCACTGTAATGTTTACACATTTCTGGTAATTGGTGAAAATTGAATTTAGAAATTTTAAAAACATAAAATTTCTGTTTAACTCTATCATAATAACAAGGTCTTTCTGAAACATTTGACAGTTTCACCAGTTATGCTTTATAACAGCATATACATATCCACATATATATATTATGGGCACATATGTATCCAGCATATACATATCCACATATGTATATTATGGGCACATAATATACATATTAAAAGGAGTACATATTTATTGTACTCCTATTGATACTTTAACACATTAAAAGGACTAATAGTGAAAAAACAAAATCAAAATCTGATTCTTCTAATATTTCAATTAGGAGTATTTTTCTGATTATTTGAGTAAAAAAAGCAGTTCTATGCCACAACCATTTTGCCACTTGGTTATATGGAGCAGCAAAGACAATGCCTTGTGAATTTAATAATTAAAAACACATATCAGATGTGCACTTAATCTTTGCCTAGGTTAGCAAACATATTCCTGTCAAAAAGAACACAGAGGGAGACAGATGTGTGCTGAAGATTGACTGTCTATGTGACTGTCAGGTAATTATTTTGATGGAACTCATTGAAATAAAAGCAAATTTACTTTGAATTGTTTTAATACTTTTGAAGCACTATTACACTTTTACCTATACTTCTGACCTTGTCTGTGAGCAACACATGAAAACTTATGTTGCATTCAAGAACACCTCAGAAACCAAATTATCTATATTGATATGAATCTACTTTGGTTTACCTATTGTTAAGAAATATCAGAAGCCTTTTACCCAAGTCTTCCTAAATATTATCCTCAACCAATTTTCAAGTCATCAGTGAATGAACAATTAAAGAAAATAGATTGTAAATACATTTGATTGAGAGATTATTTTACAGCATTATTCCTAAATCCATCCTATTCATTAATTATCTGAAAATGTTTATCCTAGCAAGGTGGCGAGGGGGTTGGTGCCTTTCCCCAGCAGACATTGGGTTTGAGGCGGGGTACACCACGGACAGGTCACCAATTCATTGCAGGGCAACACAGAGACAGACAGGACAGTGATCACACACACTTTCACAATTTAGAGAAACCAATTAACCGGCTTCCAGTTAATTGGTCCAATTGGTTAGGAAGGGTACTCACGCATCCACAGGGAGAACATGCAAACATCAAAGAAAGACTGCAGGCCTGGACTCAAACCCAAGACCTTCTTCATCATCACCGAATATTATTCACTATTTATGTGAACTGCTAGTGTGTGCCATAGTGTGCACATCTACAGGTTACCTGGAAATGCTGTGTCTGACTTATGCATACTTTGTCTTTTGGACCATTTCAACATGTTGAAATCACATTAACCAAGATGTGTGAGGAGTTCAAGAGAGGAAGGAGTTTAAGTCAGAAATTACAGTATGATCTGCTATTCAGTTACTAGTCTAAAAATTTCTGGACCTAAAAAAACCCCCACTAAATTGCTTGTTTAGGTCCAAAAAAACTAAAAACAAAATCATACAAAAAAAATACTAAACTGCAAATTTCCACTGCAAAAGAAAACATATTCATGGCAGACAGAATAGAGGACTGCTTCAATTTTTTATGAAAAAAAAAATACATTCTTTTCCTATGAAAGATATCAAAACTCGGACAAAATAGAATCGGGTTTTGGGATCAGATTTGTGTCCAATGTAAACCATTTTAAAACCATTTATTTCAAAATTGTTTAAAAGGAAACCATTTTAATCCGTTCAAGAATGGTGACGGGGTATATTTACAACGTTTTAGCCGAATATATTAATAATAAAGTTTATCATTCTAGCGTTTGAGAATGCAAAATCTACAATAAATAATTAGAAGGTAATAAATATGGTTCGAAACTCAGATGAACGTTTCCAGCACTGTGTCAGTGAAGATAACCTGTGTTTAAACACAGATGGTTTGTGTGTCATCTAATTCAAACACTTACTCGTCCTGAGTTGAGTTTTTCTTCCAAGGAAAACTTTTTCATCTTTGGTCGTTGCTTTGAGTACAGGGGAAATTACTGATAGAGAACAGTTCCAGATGTTCTTTCAACGGCAAATGAGTCTTCAAAGAACGCCGCAACTCCATTAAGGTTGAAGTGAAATAAGCCGCATTATTTCTGGGAGACACCGCATGCTACTGTCCATCTTCTAAAACCAGAGCCTTCTTCCTCCTTTTCGATTTTATGCGTAAGCAAGCTGTAAGGTCCATTGCCGCCACCTACAGGACTGGAATGCAGATAGATTAACAAAAAATGTTTGCATTCTTTCTGCTAAATTTGTGACCTAAAAAAGGCACACCGTTTTTTTCTATTTTATTTTTAATATTTATGAGAATCAATGCTTCAAGATTTATGTTTTCTTATTTATGTTCAGCAGCCCTTGAAGTCAGTTTTGTAGACTATTTTATCCTATCCTATTTTATATGTAACAGCTTCCCCTTTATGCCCGTCCCGTCATACACACAGAGGAGGCCAGTTGGTTGAATTTTCTGTAATAACTGTAATAAATGGTCAACACAAATTAGTACAGTGAGCTCCACTACTGGTCCATCAGATCTCCGCATACACAGTAGAGTGCTCAACAGACTGCCTCACAAACAATCATTACAATCTGGCTTAACAACATATTTTTCTAACAAATGATCGTATAATGATATTTGATTATTAATACTTCTTTAAAATTAATTTAACACAATCTGATCTATTTCCTATAAATAAAGAAAAAAAATAGACAGACAACAATCAAATTTAACTAATAAACTATTTAACAGTAACTTCTAACTGAAACAGGGAACAAACAAACTGACAAGCTGGTAAATACAGCAAACCGACAATACAACAGACAAACCGACAACTCAACTGAAGAAAAACTGACAAACATAACTGACAAAATAAATGACTAATAAATAATATAATATAATTACCTGTAATAAATGGTCAACACAAATTAGTACAGTGAGCTCCACTACTGGTCCATCAGCTCTCCGCATACTGTAATAAAACTCCACGTCAGTCTTTGAGCACACCTACTATGACTATTCAGAAAAGAACTGGATTTGGTGACTTACCACAGTAGAGTGCTCAACAGACTGCGTGGAATTTACGGTTTAGCTTTCTATTTATAGGCAACCAGTAGGGGGCGCCAAAACCATTCATCACATGGTAATTACAAAACATATTTTAGCAAGAATTTCATCTTAATACCCGTTACATATATTTGCCCTTTTAGTTGAACAGTCTATGTCCAATCCCATAAATGGACATCCCTGCAAACAGCCTCTTTGTAGGGACATTAGTTTGATTAGCTATGGAAGCAAAGAGCTTGCAATCAAATTCATATCACCAGATAGTATTGTTATCTGGTGTTATCAACTGGATTCCATTTTGTCTTTATCTGTCTTTGGAATTAATTAGATTATTGCCTGTCTCTACAATACCTTCAATCTTTGCCTTCAAGTGTGTTGAAGGAGATGTGTGTTGAAGAAGCAATAAACATTGAAAAAAAAATAGTAGTGCCAGCAATTATGTTTTATTATATTCTGCTAGAAAAGAACTCCCTACATCACCGACATCCTTTTCTTTGTACTTGAGATTGCCTTATTTAATTGCACTGGATCCAATTACAATTAAATGCCAACTGCACACTTAATTGTGCAGTTGACAATTCTATAAGTTGGCATCTTTTTCCCTCTGAGGTCTTATTTTTTTTAACCTATTTCCACATGAATCTTAAAATAAACTTGATGTTCTATAAATAAATAATGGGAAAATTGTGGATCTTTACAGAGAGTTTCCAAACTATGTTGCTGCTCACTTCAACAGCATACTCAGAAGTTTGGGAACAATTCTTAAGGTATGTTATGTGTATTGAACATTGGAAATCAATACAACTGTATTATGACACTATATTTTAAAAGCTTATCTGAAAACAGTGTATAAAAATGTTAGGACAAGCTGTCCAAGGTATGGCATGATTATGACACCATACTCAGAACAAGTCGCCAGTCCATCGCAGAGCAAAACAGACGAACAGGACAAACAATTAAGCACACACACAAATCTAAGGAGAATTTAGAGAGGCCAACTAAACTGACAATCATGTTTTTCAACTGTGGGAGGAAGCCAGAATACAAATCTCTCTTTTGTCCCTCTCTATCCAGGATAGACGCAGTATAGCGAGTCTAGCTCATTATGCAGGGCTGGTCCAAGGTTGTATGAGGCCTTGAGCAGAATTTAATGAGGTTTATTGTACTAATAGAAAATGGGCAATATGCATAGAAACAAAATTTGACAGGTGCAAAAATTTGGGTACCCTTATCATTTAATTGATTTGAATACTCCTAACTACTTTTCACTGACTTACTGAAACACAAAATTGGTTTAGCAACCTCATTAAGCTTTGAACTTCATAGCCAGGTATATCCAATCATGAGAAAAGGTATTTAAGGTGGCCGATTGCAAGTTGTTCTCCAATCTGGATCTCCTATGAAGAGTGGCATCATGGGCACATCAAAACAACTCTCAAATAATCTAAAAACAAAGATTGTTCAACACAGTTGTTTAGGGGAAGGACACAAAAAGTTATCTCAGAGATTTAAACTGTCAGTTTCCACTGTGAGGAACATAGTAAGGAAATGGAAGACCACAGGGACAGTACATGTTAAACCCAGAAGTGGCAGGCCAAGAAAAATATCAGAGAGGCAGAGAAGAAGAATGGTGAGAACTGTGAAGGACAACCCACAGACCACCTCCAAAGACCTGCAGCATCATCTTGCTGCAGATGGTGTCACTGTGCATCGTTCAACAATTCAGCGCACTTTGCACAAAGAGAAGCTGTATGGGAAAGTGATGCGACGGAAGACTTTTCTGAAAGCACGCCCCAAACGGAGTCGCTTGAGGTCTGCAAAAGCACATTTGGACAAGCCAGCTTCATTTTGGAATAAGGTCCTGTGGACTGATGAAACAAAGACTGAGTTGTTTGGTCATAAAAAAGGCGTTATGCATGGCGGCAAAAAAACAGCATTCCAAGAAAAACGCTTGCTACCCACTGTGAAATTTGGTGGAGGTTCCATCATGCTTTGGGGCTGTGTGGCCAATGCTGGTACTGGGAATATTGTTAAAGTTGAGGGTCGCATGGATTCCACTCAATATCAACAAATTCTTGAGACTAATGTTCAAGAATCAGTTATGAAGTTGAAGCTACGTCGGGGATGGATATTTCAGCAAGACAATGATCCAACACACCACTCCAAATCTACTCAGGCATTCATGCAGAGGAACAATTACAATGTTCTGGAATGGCCATCCCAATCCCCAGATCTGAATATCATTGAACATCTGTGGGATGATTTAAAGCGGGCTGTCCATGCTCAGCAACCATCAAACTTAACAAAACTGGAATTGTTTTGCAAAGAGGAATGGTCAAAAATACCTTCATCCAGGATCCAGGAACTCATTAGAAGCTACCGGAAGAGACTAGAGGCTGTTATTGTTGCAAAAGGAGATACTACTAAATATTAATGTCACTATTCTGTTGAGGTGCCCATATTTTTGCACCAGTCAAATTTTGTGTTTATGTGTACTGCACATTTTCTGTTACTCCAATAAACCTCATTTCAATATTGAAATGTTACTGTGTCCATAAGTTATTGGTTATATCAAACTGAAAGTTATTGCAAACGTTCAAATATTTAGGGTGCCCAAACGTTTTCATATGACTGCATATATATATATATATATATATATATATATATATATATATATATATATATATATATATATATTACATATACAGTGCCAAGGACTGTGCAGTCCTTGGCACAGATACTGCGCAGAACCCTCAAGCTCCCAGGCCTCTGGTAGAAGACCCGAGCTCAGAGGATAAGAACCACCGCGGTGGGTGAGAAGGGATTTTTTTTTTAATTTTTTATATATATATATATATATATATATATTTATATTATATATATATATATATATATATATATATATATATATGTTCAATATATATATATATATTTTATGACTGTATATATATATATATATATATATATATATATATATATATATAATATATAATAATATATATATATATATATACAGTCATATGAAAAGTTTATTTATTTTTGAATTTATTTGTAAGATTCTAATTGTGAGTTTAGAAATGTCTTCCAGTAAGATAATTACCCAGTAATATTTTTACATTTCCTGTCAACTTTTGTATTTAATACAACACGGCTAAACTCTGCTTTCAGGTTGAAACTAAGGTTCATGTGGGTTTCATAGTGGCCAAACATCCCCTACAAATATTTGTCTCTATTGTGGCCAAGCATTTCAACTTGACAATTTTCTTTATCAGCTTTAATATTGCTCAAACATCTTGTATACTTTCATGAGGTTGCCATTTCTTGTGATTTCAATCTTCTGTAGTTAGCCAACCAGTAAAAGGTTAAACCAGTTAGAAAGATCATACTTATTTTGTACCTTTAAGTCACAGAAAATATTAGTCCATTTCCATAATTAGAGTAATTTTTAATCAACTTGTTTTTTCCACTTTAGTGTCTGCAACCCACTAAAGAGGTATAAAGTGAATTAAACATTGATCTGACTATGCTAAAGTTGCCATCTACATAATAAATTGACAACTGCCAGTGAAGAACAGATCAACAGTCAGTCTATAGGCTTCTAATTTGAGCAACCTGCGATTCCTCTTTGGCATGTGTGCTGTGGCTCTAAAAAACAATTAGACATGTTTTTGATCACAATACTGATAAGAAAAAGTGGTAATGTGATCAAACATTTTTCTTTTTCTGTTGCTGAAGAAAAAATTTCATTTTGTAGTATTTTTTCCACAAAAGTGGATCTTTGAATTGAGAAAGTTGCTAACCTTTGATCTGCATTACATAGTGTTAGACCCACTAGCTGATGACTTCATTTCAATTCCATTACTACAGTAACAGAATTGCTAAATATATATTTAAAAAATTAAGTTAGAGGTAAGAAGTTGGAATGATACAAGCAAATATTTATGGAATTAAATACATTGAGGGAAACTTTAAACAAGCTTGAGCAGTGGAGGGTTGTGAAGGGTGTCTGCGTCAAGATCAGAGCATTATTCGTTTACATAGGAAAAATGGCACATGCCATTTTCAAGTCTTTCTGACCCCATCTGCAAGAACCACTTTGCTCTTGAACAACTATGGTAAATTTTGACTCTACAAAATTATCCGGCTGAGGCTGGTTTGTGGTGAAATGATGTTCAGTGAGCCGTGTTGCAGCTGACAGGGCTCAAAGGGATTGTTGTAAAAACTTAACTCTACCACCACTTTATAATTACATTTTTTTACAGACAGTTAATATTGAACAAGCTGATACTGATTTGCATATAGCAAGATAAAGGCTTTCTAAATGTCAAGAGATTTTAGCTGGTTTCTGGGAAGACCTCCAGCTTAATAAGTCTCATTTCTTGGGGAACGAGGCTTTTTAAGCTTTTTTACACATCTTTCTTAGTTTGTTCCAGATTATGTCTATAGCATTTCAATTGTTGAAAAATAACTACATTTCTAGATGATTATATGCTTTGATTTCTTCATATGTGGCTTACTTAGGATCCTGCTGACACCTACTGTGTGTTTTTATGCCAATTACCCAATTTCAAATATTTAAACTAAGAAGGGTTTTGCAATACACGATCTGTAAAACCACTGTTTGTGCATCTTTTATAAACATTTAAGCTGTATTTGCCGAATCCAAATGGAAAGACAAACTCTATAGGTTCAGTACTGATTCTAACAAAAGCAAAAATAATTAGGAAAAAACAGCTATGACAGTTTTAAAATAATTGAAGTACTTCATTTTAACCATCTAATGTACCAAGTACCAATAAAAAGGAGCTGTCCTTAATAAAAAAAAAAGCAATACCCATTGATCACCAACTAGACTTTGTCTCGTAAAGTTTCCTGTAATGTTGCAAAGGTGCATTGACAACAGATGGCTGTCTATATACGGGACATCAACAGAAGTAAGTTTACAGTGTATTAAAAAAATTTAAAAGTTGTCATTTCAGTAAATACACTTTCAATGTTCGAGCTCAAAATTTCTTTTGTCACATTTAT